CGATGGTACGCGTTGCGTCGCGCTCGGAGAGCTCGACAATCTAGGATTTACGACGCGGTTTTTGTACGTACGCTTGAATGAGCGTGCGCTGCTGCTTTTACGTTTTGCCGCAACTTTGAAATCTGTAGCCGGTCTCGAGAAGTCGCCACACGACGCTTTATATTCCTGGCTTAGTCAAGAGGGTGACGACCAGCTCACGACACCACCAGTCGGGAATCAAGGCCAACATGGCGGCCGAGAAGACAGCAGGCCTGTCGGATACAATATTTCAGTCTGACTCAGGGCAGAAATCAGCGCTGGATTCTTTCACATGTAGGTGATCATTCTCTATTCTGCCGTAGTTGTCGGATGTGCGGTACGTATCGCGCTTGCGGCAACAGCCTCAGTCGTTTTGTATATCGCACGCACGAAATGCACCGCGAATGTCGGCTTCGGCGTCAGTAATTCGCCTGTACTTTTTGACCGCTTGGAAATTTGCCGTCATTGCCCTCGGCCGCCCAGACGCTCGCTCAACGAGTGCACGCTGTCTTCGCCGCCGTGATCAGCTCCGGGCTTACGATATTTGGGCGGTGACCTCGTCGCTGTTTCACGAGTCGTCCAAAACCCGTTGCGGTTGCTCGTAACGAGTTTGGTTGTAGTATGTCGCGCTCTGTAAGTGCACCGGCACGGGCTGGCGAACTTTCGGTAGCGTCGGAACCGAGTCTGTGAAAATTGGTTGCCATTACAGTTGGCTTCCCCGTAAATCGGTCGCCAGCAGCTCGGCGCCCACCGTTGGCGGCTGCCACGGCGGCGGACTCGCGTTTGTTCACGGCCCTCGCTCGAGTTTGTAGAAAAGAGCCGCATTACCGTCGTTTTTTAAGGTACGAACAAACTGGCGGCACCGCGGTCTCCCGCGCGCCGCTGCTTTTCCGTCATTCTCCCGCCGAGCGTCGTCGAATTTCCGCCGCCGACTATATCGCTCGCTGGGATATTTTTTGCCGCTGCCGCCTGCTCTCGCGCAAGTAAACCACCAATAAGCGCCTGCTTTTCCTTTTTTCCTTTTCACATTGGCCGTGCCTACACACCCACCATTTTTTTCTTTCAGTCTCTCGCAGGCACTGCGCCGTGCTCCCGACCGCGCTGCAGAAATTAGGTGCTTCTCTCCTCTTCTAACCACTACCACCACCACCGTCCCGCGGAAAAGACAAGCCGCGAGCTGGCAGCTAGGAGTGGCTAGGAGGTGGGTGCGCGCGTCTCGACATGTCCATTCTTGCCTCGCTTTTCTCGCGGCGCGGCCAATGTGGACAGCGTGCGGCTGGCTGCCGAGCTGAGGCACCGACGGGCGGGACGCCGCCGCGGCATAGCCTTCCATCTCTCGCACGAAGACGGAGAAGCTGTGAGTTTTCCGGCCCTTAGGTATCTCGGTACATCCAAAGCGGATGGACCCGAAATCTTCGCGGCGCATTTAGAGAGCGGTGACGCCGAAGCAACAGCAGAGACGGTAACGTTGAGCGTTGCGAGGAGATCGTCGTCATCTGCCTTTGTCCGCACGGTTGAACCGGAAAGTTGAAGCGCTGAGAACAGACGACAAAAAAAAAGAATGGCAGCATATTCACGGAGTGAATGATGGAGAGTGGGGCGAAGCATTCGTCCGTCCGTCCATGCGTCCATCCGGCCGTCCGTGCGTGCGTCTGTCTGTTCGTGCGTCCATCCCTGCGTTCGTCCACGCATCTGCCCCTGCGTCCGTTCATGCGTCCATCCAAGCATCTGTCTGTGTGTCCGTTCGTCCATCTATTCAACATTCCAAGTACCACCATCTCGAATATTTTCATCATATATTCCCCATATAGACGCACCGCCATCCAGCGGACATTCCAAGGACTAAACGAGAGGTGGCACACGCACACTTTCTTACGGCTTGCGCTTCGGGACCACTTCCCACCTTTAACCACCTCGAGTTCATGGTATATACTAGTTCACTGTATTCATGGCACTGCGGCCGAACGCTCGCTAAACCTTTTGAAAACCAAGGAGGTTACGCCCAGCGAGCATGACATAGCAAACTTTTTCAGTCAGATAGTGCTCAATGTACATGCCAATGGCTGCTAATGGGAAATGAGAGGCGGAGAATTCGGCTTTTACTTTCTTACGGCTTGCACTTCGTATCTACTTCCCATTTTTAACCACCTTGAGTTCATTCATGGTATATACAAGTTCATTGTATTCATGGCACTGCGGCTCAACGCTCGCTAAACCTTTCTAAAGCTAAGGAGGTTACACCCAGCGAGTATAACGTAGCAACCCTTTCTTGTCAGATAGTGCTCAATGTAAATGCCAATGGCTGCTAATGGTGATCGCAGCCTGCGCGTTAACGCAAAGCCGAATGCTCCTGTCTCTCATTCCCCATTAGCAGCCATTGATATGTACATTGAGCACTATTTTTTATTGTTCAACAACGCACAGAAGAAGTCTCTCCCCGGCACCACCTTGGAGGTCAAAATGTTATACTTGTTACATACTACGGGGGACGAACGGGTGCCGCTATAAGGAGCTTTGCCCCTAAAAAAACGCCCCCTTCTTGTTGAAGCCTACGCTACCATCAATGCAAATGAGTGACCACTGAGAACCAACGTGGTGGCCCGTGAATTATGACGGCTCTTTTAGCCAGTTGTAAGCAACCATGGCCGAGCTTGTCACCACTCTAAAACAAGTAGACGCGCGCACACGAAGACTCTCTACCCAACGCGAGGCCGTCGCGCCATCTCACTGCTGGTAACGAAAATGCGCTAAAGTTTCGAAGCTGCACTGCAAGTGGCGCGGGGCTGTGGCAATATATCACATACTCTCGGAATGTAGCGTGGTGCCGCCGCCGGTGGATAATATGCGTGATCCCTCACTGGGATGCCGTGTTGACCAGCTCAGACACAGTCGTCCTGACAACGCTCGTGGAGTAGGCCACACAGGTCACTGTCAACCTTGGGCTGATGCGCATCTAACACGGTATAGTACGTAGTTGCTTTCTGACGAAATGAAGTTTTGCCCTCCATGAATACAAATTACTTTCCGCTAAAACTTCGGACAAAGTACGCTCCGTGGCGTAGTGGTTAGCACGGCATGCTGAGAATAAAAGAGCTGCTGCTGCGATTCCGCGTGTTTTTTTTTTTCTTTTCAATCTCTTAGTACATATTTCTGAGGTTTCTTTCATGACACAAGTATGTAAGAGGAGCAGTGGGGGACTCCGGCATAACACTGTCGAGGTAAGAAAAGGCAAATCCCACGTACAATGGACATGATGATATGCGAAGCACGAATGAGGAAGGCTGAAATGTCACTTTAACATTATGCCGTACATGACTTCAATGTAATGATTATTATGATTGGACCAGTCATTTACCTTGGTCGTATTCACATCACGTGATACCAAATTTGGCATATGTGGAGCTGGCGAAACGGCCACGAGCGCGCTATAAGCGTAATACGTGTACCTGTTTTACATTGCACGCATTCTATTATTTGCACGTTTGCACATGCCATTTACCTTCGTCGTCCATTCATTTCACGTAATACCAAATTTCGTATGTGTGAAGCTAGCGAAACAGCCGCCAGCGAATCATGAGCGTGGTACGTTGTAATGCTTTTACATGACATGCATGTCATGTTTCTTATGTTTACACCAGCCATATACTTTCGTAATTCATTACAGTGACGTAACACCAAAATTGGCATATGTGAAGCTGGCGAAACAACCGCGAGCTCACTATGAGCGTAACATATAGTCATGTTTCACATGACACGTACGTTATGATTATCATGTTTGCATGTGTCAGTCACCTTCGCCGTGCGTTCGCGTCATGTAATACCAAATTTAGAATGTGTGAAGCTCTTGAAACGGCCACGAGCACACATCATGAGCGTGGCATGTAGTCATGTTGTTACATGACACGCATACTATGATTATCATGTTTGGACGTGTCACTTCCCTTCATCGAACATTCGCGTTACGTAATACCAAAATTAATATATGTGAAGCTAGTGAAACGGCCGCGAGCACATCATGAGCGTGGCATGTAGTCCTGTTGTTACATGAGAGACATGTCATTATTTCCACGTTAGGGTCTGGCACTTGTGTGCGTCATGCAGTCATGTCATACCATACCATTTTCGCAACATGTGATGGGAACGAAACCACCTCAACAAAAGCAAGACAGTGAAATATAAATCATGACATTCATGGCATATCTTTCATTACTTTTAAATTATGAGTGGTCACTTAAGCTCGTGCTACATTCATATTATGTCATAGCAAATTTGGTATGGATAACATTATCGGAACGGCCTGGAGAGCTAAATGTCGTAGGCGGCTATACAGACAGACAGACAGACAGACAGACAGACAGACAGACAGACAGACAGACAGACAGACAGACAGACAGACAGACAGACAGATAGATAGATAGATAGATAGATAGATAGATAGATAGATAGATAGATAGATAGATAGATAGATAGATAGATAGATAGATAGATAGATAGATAGATAGATAGATAGACAGACAGACAGACAGACAGACAGACAGACAGACAGACAGACAGACAGACAGACAGACAGACAGACAGACAGACAGACAGACAGACAGACAGACAGACAGACAGATAGATAGATAGATAGATAGATAGATAGATAGATAGATAGATAGATAGATAGATAGATAGATAGATAGATAGATAGATAGATAGATAGATAGATAGATAGATTGAGAGTCACCTAATCTCATTGAGAAATGCTTCGCATTAAAGAAAAAAGGATCAGTAGTGGGCACACTGCGCGAGGTTGCTCTAAGCAACGCGTGTCGGCTTTTCGCTACCGTTCGCTGTTGGTGGTGCCACAGGTATCGCTCAAAACAGCTGCGCGCTAGGCGGATTGAGCGCAGCTCATGTGTAAAGATGAATGCCCTGCAGGAGTGTTTGGTTTGACGCCTGTGTCAGTGCGTTTAAATCGATGTGTGAATGCACTGACGCAGAACTGGGAGAAGGTCAACTCGGCTACCTCCACGTTCAACCCAGAGATCACGCCGCTCATCCTGGCCGCCCACCGCAACAACTACGAGATTCTGAAGTTGCTGCTGGACCGCGGCGCCACGCTCCCCATGCCGCACGACGTGCGCTGCGGCTGCGACGAGTGTGCCGAGGCGGTGCGCCGCGACTGCCTGCGCCACTCGCGCTCACGCATCAACGCCTTCCGCGCGCTCTCGTCACCCTCACTCATCTGCCTGTCGAGCGTGGACCCCATCCTGACAGCGTTCGAGCTCAGCCTCGAGCTCAAGCGGCTCAGTTACGTCGAGAACGAGTTCAAGGTCGACTACAAGGTACACTCTCCCTCCCCTCCTCCATTCTTGCGTCAGCACACGGTGCGATTCCCGCCAATCGCATCTTTTGTCTCCTCGTGATATCATTCACTCGGGGGAAAATGTCGCAGCTTTGCCGCAAAGGCGAAGCAATGAACGCGATAGAAACAAATTGTAAGGTCACGCACAGAATGGTAAGCAGATCGAAACGTGCTCGCGTTTCTCAGGCGCAAATGACGCACGAAACTTACTAACGGGTAAAGATGCATGCGAATAAGTGCGTCAGAAGCGACGGAAGTGACACAGTTCCCTCCAAACGCTCCTTTTGTCTCCTCATGCTATCGTTCGCTCGGGGTAAAAGAGCGGTACAAGCGCAAACCGAGCAAAAACGACCATGAGGCAGCTCGCGACAGCCGTATGCTTCTCACTGCTTTCATCTCTGTAATTGGCATCAATCTCACTTCTACAATAAACATTTTCAGAGTGAGTGTGTGGATCGCCTACGCTTGGGAGCGCTGCGCTGATAAATGGTGTTAAAAGACACACGCTGTAATACATTTTCGTCGTACATTCTAACATATTTCACGGACATCCTATTTTTAATATAGCCATTTTTTAGGCGTGCCGATAAGCGGATTTTGGAAACGTATCCAGCACTCGCAAAGAAGGACGCTAAAGAGTCGTCTCGTGGTGTCACTAGTTTTGAGTAGTATTTTTTAGTTCAGCAAGGTCAAGACAGAATGGTCTGAATATCAGAATATGGTGCTCGTGTAATTGAACAGTTTAAGTACGATGCTGCACGCGCTTCTCCGAGATTCTTAAGGTTTAACAGCACAAAAAATACAAGACGAAGGGGAAAAGGATGGGACAAGCGCTGACTTCCAACTAAAATTTCATTGACAAGAAGGCTATTATTATACCCCAGTGAACAGAAAAATCAGTGAAAGCCACCGAGATTCATTCATTTCACTGTCATCGGCGAATGAAACACCCGCACCACTACAACATTCCGCATTAGTTAATCTCCTTATGGTCGGTGACATATTTCTTATTTGTTGTTTCAAGAGTAAAGCTCGTGAACGGTGCTCACATTCTCTACTTGTACAACTGGCTTGGCAAAAGCACCGTTTATAACATACACCCCTGAAAGCACCCGTTCAAGTGTTCAATATACTATATGCTCTCTTGTACAGATGTTCTGCTTTCTCTGTATATTTCTCTAGCCCAAAGCAAGAATAGCATCCCTGCCGAAAAGTAAATGTAATGCCGTACTTACGCTGCTTGATGCGCAGAAGCTCCAGCACCAGTGCCAGGATTTTGCCACGTCTCTACTAGACCACATCCGCACGTCAGCAGAACTTGCATGTATCATGAACCATCAAGTGAGGGCTGCTAGTGATAATCAAGAGGACGACAGCATGTCTCTCGCCAGGCTCGAGCTTGCTATAGCACACCAACAAAAAAAGGTACGCTAATCTGGTGTAATAAATGCCCGCACACTCCTGCTTTGCATTGCTTACTCGTACGAATCAGTTTTATGGTGCCCGTAAAGTGTCTCCTATATATTAGTTTACTATAATGTTCCACTCGTCTTCAGTTTTCTGCTATTTATTTTTTGAGAAATTGGCACTTTATACTAAAGTTGTTGACTAAAAATGAGCGTATATCTTGCTTAAACCCGACATGCGTATATAAATGTTTGGATGAAATTATTTACGGCATTGAAATGTTCCATTAACATCGAATGGGATGATCATAATGCTCATAGCAGACATATCCACACTTATTGCTAAAAAATGGCAATGAACAAGTAATATAAACAAGTAGCACGTATTTCTTAGCTTCCATTCAGAACATTTTTACGTAAAAAAACCCCGACAAGTGGAGGAACATGCGCAATAGAGAGAAAAGGTTGTATCAGATACCATCCCTTATTTTCAACACATAAACATACAGGGCGGTATCTGAGTAACTTTTTCCTCTTATATGTTGCGTTCCAAGCATGGAGAAATGCTACGTCCAAACTGAGAAAAACATTTACCAGTCCTAAGACACACTCACATAAAAACGTGGTCCATCAGGCCGCTACACTTGCCGTCCGCAGATGATCCTTCGTCGTCCAACGCAAGTTCGCACTACTCAGCCCACCAAGCACTCCTGAGGCACTGTGCTGGCTGGCGCTTTTGTAATGGATCTGTGGGACACGCGCACGCAAACTGTGCAGCACCTGCAGCTGTCAGGTGGACATTTCCACAACTTTTCGCTTGAAGTTTATTGATGTGTCCAGCGTTTCTCTCTTGCCTTGTCCCATTACTCGTCATTTTTGCGAAGAAACGTGGTACACTACACACACGTAAAGCATTATGTGCACCTTGTCGATCCTGTAGCGCCATGGTAGATTTCGCCAGCTGGCCGCGCCGGAAAAGAAGCGAGCCGAGTGGCACGGGATGCGCGAGCCACGAGGAAGGTAGAACGGCCTAGCTTGTCGTTAGTGTGTTTCTGGCTGGCTGGACGCCACGGCCGCCGCTCTACTTTGGCAGCTCGCTTCCTCCCTGGGTCGTCCTTTCATTAAACCAGCGACGACTGCACGTCTACGTCGGCCGCTGTCACATCTCTACAAATTGGTGACCAAGGACACACGGACAAGCGACCGACGCTGCACAACTGCCACCGAGCTCCGTACGTACGTTCCAGCCAGCGCAAGCCTGGCCGCCCCGATTCAACCGGCAACTGCCACCATTTCAGACTTCTGACATAGAGTCGTGGTTCCAAGAGTTTGAGGCTGCCTTGGAGCTCAATAGCTTCTGGCTCCAAGAATTCATGATTGAGGTCCTGGAGCATGTTCTTCCACCTGACCTCAACCGACGCCTCGCGTCTTTTTCTTGGAGCTCCCGCCCATATGCCGAACTACCGTACGCCGTCCTACGGTTTTACGGCACTCAACACCACCTCCGACCAGGGAACGACTACATGGAATGTGCTTTTTCATCTACGCTGATCAAGCCTTCCTCGCGGTTCCTTTTGACCACATCTTGCCCAGCGCTATGCCAAATCAATGAGGTAGGTTACCGTCCTTCGACAAACGACTCCCTTGTCACAACATAAGCAATCTGAAGATCGGCTTACGGTTAACGGTTGACACTTGTGGACACATTGCCGAGCCCAACGCCTTCAGCACCTACTGACTCGGTGTGCCACACCCAAAATGGTGCCACCTGTCACTTGTTTGCTTACACTATGGGCGGCACCATGAGCAAGTCAGCTGCCACCTCCCACGTCAGCAGCAAAGCTACCGCCAGCATGATACCGACTGCGGACGACGCCCCAGTTATGCCCCTGGTGGAGCAACTCGATTATGATTCACCGGCTCTACAAGCATGTGGCCAGCATACCGTCCCCATTCCAAGATCTCCTGAGGTGGCTGCCATAGGTGGTGACATAGCCACATACGTGGCGTTCCATGGTCTGGGGTAGCCTAAGTCTCCTGCGGAACCCCCTTGCTGATAATCTTCTCTGGGGGAAGCGCTGAAAAGATTGAAACCGATCAGCACTCTCCGCGCGAAATTCGGCATCACAGTGGTTCTGATCAGTGCTGCTCGAGTCCGGGCTTTTTTCCTTCGGCACGCGACAAACATGTGCCAGCGTCACTGCTACCTATGTACACCTTGCGCTTGTGCCACCAACCCATCGCTGTTCAACACACCTGCCTGCTGCCGCGTAGTCATAGTGTGCGAAGCAAATCATAGTGTGCGTTGCGAAGCATCTCTTCTAGTAGGGCGTTTTGGTGACTATCGGCTAGCGTGCTCATGCCTGCACCACGCACAGGAAGCGTCGAGCTCTCACCAAAACTAAAGGCTACGCTGATCACTCGCCTCTTTCGACGCCTGCCCACACGAATCATCCCTGAACTCCACATCATCCGCACTTAGGCGTTTTCTGCGTGGCCACCGCTGGTGTCGCCGATGCCAGTGGCCACAAGGTCCTTCGCGGGCTGCGTCACTGTTGCCTACAACATCTTTTCGGCACGCACCTCGCCCACTCCATGGCTCCCAGCGTCGTCCGCCGGAACTTTCAGATGCCCAACGTTTTTCCACAATGACTACTCGGATTTCCCCACGGACAATCCACGGACTGTCGCTCATGTAAATAGTGTCCGTCTCTTTTGCTTTTTCTTTTGTGCATATGCTTAAAATCGCGCAAAGCGCTAGGGGAGGGGGGGGGGAGCCTTTGTAGCGCCATGCTATATTTAGCCAGGTGGCCACGCTGAGAAAGAAGTGAGCCGCGTAGCACCTAATGAGCGAGCCACGAAGAAGACGGAACGTCCCAGTTTCTGAACCTGGCTGAATGCTGTAGGCGATACCGCTTCGCTATCGCCTCGCCCAAATAAAAACTGCGACCACGGCACGGCCTCATCGCCGCCATCTTGTCCCTTTTCTCTACAACGCTATGGCTGATGACGATAGAAAATTATGCCTCAGCCTTTTGTATGCGTGAGAAGCATTTAACCACTCCCACGTTGCACAATCCACATTGTGTACAGCGGGGCTATTTTTCTCTTCAGCCACGTTACATTGTATACCTTAACGTGGTGTCCAACCAATCATGCAGCCTGTCTATGGCAAAGGTCTCCAAACTCACCTCGGCCTGCATTTACGAAATTTAGTCCCACAGTGGCTGGGACAGTGTAATGTTGAAAGCGGGGGGACGAGATAATTGGACCACAATGCCAAGTAACGTTACTATTTGAAAGAGTGTTTTTTTTTTCAGATCCCAATGGGATCGTTCTTGAGCAGGAAACTCGACGTGAAGTTTTAAAAAAAATATATTAATACTTATTTTATGAGGAGTGAGATCTGGACACAAATCCTGAAACGAGCTTTCATTGCACGATGATATTTCAACTCACAGAGACCACATGTGGTACCTGACAAAAAAAAAGTTCTTCAGACCTGCCCCATTTTTGTAGTGTAGTACTATTGTTGGCGGTAACGCGTTAGAGGTGACGCTGTTAACGGTAACGTATTACATTAAGCTGTAACTTGGTAACGTACTCGTTACAATGTCAAAACTGTAACGGATAACCTACTTATGCTACTATTTAACGGTAACGTGTGGGGTCACGTTAATTCTTTTTCGTCTTCCCGGTGCAAGTTTTCCAGATCTCGCCCCGACGAGTTCTTTTGATACAGCGGCGCACAGCTGCCTGCCAGGCACGGACAAAGTATGCATGGGCGGAACTAGTTTTGCTTATGGATATCACCCAATTCGAAATTTCATAAGACACGCTGACTCCCTGTGGGGAAGGTTGGGCTATCTCCACCCAAATCTTAAAGAAAGGAGTAACTTTCTGTGGTCAAGGCTGGGCCATCTCCACACAAAGCTTGAAGAAAGCAGTGACTCCCTGTGGGAAAGGTTGAGCCGTCTCTACATAGAGCTTGAAGAAAACCGTGGAATGAAAAAGCCACCATGAGAAACTGTACAGATATGCTTTTCGTGGAAGTGGATCGCAGTCGGGGGATTGCTGGATTTTCCGTGCCCAGGCTGGGTAAGAACATGCGCCACTCAAGTATTCATTGTGCGCTTCGGGAAGAATAGAACTTTCCTGTAAGAACGACGTGTTAAAAGGAGTACACTCGTTGAGTACATCTTGGTGAATGACCAACGCATCGAATTTTCGCGTCTACAACTCAGAGGGCAGTTACTATAGGCGGCTTTCTGTAAAATTCTAATCCATCTAGGAGACAGTAAGTACCACAGGTCTGCAAGTGTGCTGCCAATTAAGAGTGTGCCTTAAAGGTATTTGGTGCATCAAAGAGAACAGGGTAACCCCACGGCAGATGATCCTATTTTACTTTACAAAAGAATGCCATGGGGACACGGAAAGCTGAGTTTTTCATGCACAGCTATAAAAAAATTTACTCCCGACCTTAATAGGCGTTCCTATACTAAAGCCCATTAATACCGCTGTCACACAAACACTTTGACTAACTAAGGTTACAGGTAGCCGCGCGGCAGACATGACTGCAGTTAGTCTCCTCACCGTGGCGAACGCAAACGGGTGATTCCATGAGATGTCGACACGGATGCGAAAATACGTAATCAAATTTTATTGAGAATTTTACATAGTATGCACATACCACTCAGTATCGCAAAAAGGAACCCGTTTTTTTTTTCGTGCTCAATTTAGGAAGCAAAAATATTTAATACATTAAACTCAGAGATACTGATTTCATGGCCATCGTCCTAGAAAGTTCCGAACTATGTAAGACAAATATTATCATTACAAAGCAGATATTTTGTGCATTAAACGTATGCGCTATACAAAAAGTAGATGAACACCTAAAGTTGTAGGGGGAAGAAAAGTAGCTTTGAAAAATGTATAAATATTATGAGATGACTCCCGGTACGCAGTAAACAGGTCGCATTTTCCATCCAGACGCATGAGCCAAAAGCTGGGGCCCGCATG